TGAAGGATGGATGCTGAGGGCCAACTGAATCGAAATATGTGCTGCTGTCGTGGTAACATTTTGATCAAGGTGTGAGAGAATACATCAACCGACAGCTCTTTCAGCCGTACCCCCCGTCGCCAAAAAGACCTTTAGGCTATGGAGATTGCTTCATCAAGTATGGTGTTCTTTTTACTGGGAGTGACATATTCAAGCTTTTCACTCCAACGCAGAATCTTTGTGGAGGTTTATCTTGAATACGGACTTTAGTTCTTGAGGAATACAGTGCAACTTCGTCGGCATATTGTTTGCCCGGTTGCTTTTACTGCCTTTTTTCACCAAGAAGTAGTCATTTTGTTAGCATGAAAGTCGGTCTGCAGGCAATCTGTCTTTTTTGGTAATACATCCTCGAAACGAGGTTGAATGAACAGTTCTTCTTTTCCTGTCAGCGCTTAGACAGCAGTAAAAGAATATCTTGTACCTAAAACGGGAGTGGCTGCCAGAAATCCACTTTTCTCAGGCTAATCAGGCCACGGGTGAAAAACCACGAGTTGAAAAAGTTAATGGCAATAAAGATAAGAAGTGCCATTTTAAAGCTACGTAAAAGCAAGAAGGAAAGTCGTAACCACCCAGTCAACCATGCACTGGTGATATCTTCTCCAATACAGACAAACTGCCAAACTGGGCTGAAGGATTTACATCAGCAACTAACACACATTGTTGACTACGGTGGCCCGTATTTCAAAGATCACGCTGACGCGATGATAAGGCATGCTTGATTCGCTGCAATTAGTAAACAGGTTGACTGATGTTTTAATTCGTTACGTTCAATCCCAACCGAGTCAGCCAATGAGCCTTATCACAAGTGATAGAAATTTACGATAGCTCAATTCTCTTGTTCTACCACATATCTATTTCGAAAACATTTTGCATGATCAAGGGGCAAGTTAAAAATTCAGTAACAAACTTGAGAAGTGCTTCTTGGTTTCCTTTCTCGGTGCCTTTACAGAGTTATCCAAGATCTCTCCCTCAAAAAGCTGTCTACCTTTTACTATTTGCAGATCTGTTCAGCCTGATTGCTGACCCCAACGGATGTGTCACTGAACAAAGGCTGTATGCTCTGTTGTGTGAATGCATCTTGATACCACGCAATTTGGGAGAAGGTGGTTGGATAGGCAAAGAAGATTTTGCCACTACTGTGAAACACTGTTTCGAGCAAGTGAGTGCCGTTCAATTTTGTCTGACACAGTTGTCTACGTTGCTGAGTAGTGATAGTGTTGGTGGAATACTAACGACAAAATCACTTGGCTGATTTGTTTTGGCCGGGTTAGATCCTCCTATATGCTGCGTTTTCTTCGCCTTTAAACATGGTTTTGAAAAGTACTCTAAGTTTTTAGGCTGATGTCGAGATACGAGTGTGGTCAATAGACAAGGTGAAAATTCGCCCACACAAAAATGTTAATAGTAGAACCAGTAAGGCAGCTGTTTATAGATGCACCGTATATTGGTATCGATAACAGTAGAGAATATCTACTCTAGTATACTTCTTGATCCTAGGTGGCCGTCAATATCAGTAAATGAACTGTTATCACACGGACACATGGTTTAAATGTTCCACAAAACTCCACTAAATCGGTCATAGAGGTTTTATCCTTTGCGTTATGCCATGAAAGTTTTATTCCAGGTAAACCTATACTACTATTATGAATAATAATGACTCAGCTGTAACACCCTTTCGATGTCATACTACCCGAAGGAACCAACTGCCAGGTTGTCTAACCCTGAACAAGGGAAGTTGGGAGGCAGAGGTTGGATTCGAACCTCGGACCTTTCGGTCAGTAAATTCACTTTCCAACCACTGGGCCATCTCGCATCCACACCTTATACTGGTCCGCTCATAAAGTCAGTTCATATGTCTGCAGAATAACTGAGATAGGGTAATTACTTCAAATATTGGCACCACAGATTTCGTACCTAGAAGGTAAGCTCTGGCTGGCCTCCAGCATTTCATTCCAGTCGTGCCATTCCACTCGAAAAAGACCACATTTGCTAGGAACTTTCGGTATCAGGACCGTCAACGTTAAACAACTGCTTACCATCTAGCTGTCTCTAAGTAGACTGGGAAAGGACAGTCGCCTCAGCGAATTCTTAAGTGTAGAAGTATAAAATTATTATCTAGTGTTTGATTGAGATTCCACCAGATAATTGAAGACAACCTATGCTTAAAAGCCCACTGTACTGCTGTTTCATCCATACTGAGATCCATCATCGGTGTGCGTCTGCAGCAAGTTTTAACCAGTGACCTCCATGTTGGTAGTTTGGAGACTTAACCGTTCGGTCAAGAGCGGATGATCAGCAATGCGATTAACTCATACCTAGACATGATTTCTAAGAGTTAGCCAGTTAACTATATTTTACATGCTAAGCCCACCAATGAGTGCAGTAAATCACTCAGAATTCTGCGTAGTTCTATGGTGGGATGAATTTGAGAAATACACCTAGTGTACCTGAGCAGCATTTTACCTTCGCTGTTCATTCAAATTGAGAGCTGGTTGTTTTAAACGAGAACTACTCTCTGACCCATTGCGCATGCATACAGGTCACGTGCCGGTCGCATAAACACCACTGGGAGTTGAATTCATCGGCATCTCGTTTGTAAAATGTGATTACAATTCACGTGTATCATTAGTTCGTATATAAAGCACTGGGACAAGCAGCATGCGTAGCTTTTGTCAGTACAATATTCGTTGACAATACATAAATTTCTCACAATGTTTATCACAGAAAATGTTTTTTCTGTCTTATTCCTTCTCGTGACCCACTTATCTGGACCACGGATCCAGTGGGAACAATAATCAGTCAAATGAGATAATTTTTCTGCCTTACTATGCCTTCTTATGCGGTGCAGCAGAAATATCATGTAATGCGCATTACTTAAGGTAACAGTTATTAAATGATCTCTGATGGGTTATGCAAAGATAGTATGCTGTTACAATGAAATATAATTACTTTCATAGGCATTCCTTGAGACTGTATGCCCAACGAAAATTCCGCTTCTGTTATTTTAGCATAACAGCTTTATTATCATCTTTTTATCACTTGGCGATGGCTGTAGGTGAACGAAATTTTTCTCCCACCCCACAAAAAGAGGGAAACAACTTGGAAACGATTTTTAAAGTCGTACTTGTCCGAAAAGCCTTTGCCGATCCTCAGGCTGGAACTGTATGACAGATCAAAATAGAGAGGATTCTTTGGGTGCAACGTTTTTGCTGAAAAGAAAAAGTACTACTGCTCCTCGTTATCGGATTAAGAAACCTTCACCTGGAATGGGGATCTCCCTACAACTGACCCCACAATAGTCACCAATAATAGCCGAAGGTATTGTGCCTTGATTTACAACCGTCGCCACTGTGGCGCTGGCTAAAAGTCACCTATCTGTTGTTTTCGTATAATATAGGAATAGCGGCAAAAACCTTTCAGTCTATCGCATAGATGTATAGACTATGTTACATTGCCATATGCTTTTAGGAGCGTTTCCGTAAAAGCCTATTCTGGACCCCCCAGTAACCCGATAGGCAGGCGCCAGTTGAACACTTAAGACGAATTACTGCCTTTACACTAACCAGTCTAAGGTGGATCTGTGTTTGCTCGTTTTCCCACCCAAAGTTTCCCGATTTTTCCTTGCCAAATTTCGGACATTCCAAGCATCGTATTTTTCTGCTGGAATGCAAAACGCGAGATCACAGTTTATCTCTTCAGACAACTGGGCGATAGAAAGAAGTTTTTAGCTCCACTCTCTCCATCGTTTCTCATTTGCAAGACGAATGGTTGGGAGTGATGCGGCCCAGTCACGCTATTCCAACAAGTAAACTAGATCTTATTTGTGGGATAACTGAGCAAAAAACCACACATGCTGAAGTCAAAATAAATGCGGTTTTCTTAGGGCTTAGGAGGTTTCTTGTACCCCTACAAAATAGACGGCCTGGAGATTAGACGCTCGTCTCACACAGAGAATTGCTCTTTGGGTTAGAGAAGTACGGTAATCCCGACAATCCGAGTGATTTTTGAAGTTACTCGTTTTTCGGTGATAGAGTATCACGAAGACCACCTTATTCGATGCACTGGTTTCAAAGAATATAGAAGGATGTTTTACTTGTTATCAGGCAGGCCAGTCCATCAAATCCCACTGCACAGTCCCACTAATTCCCACGTCAGGTGTACGTGCTTTAACACATCGTTGTCCGTGCCCAGTGCCTAGCCGCCGTACCACCCAGATGAAGTACGAGAACTGATACACTGTTACGTTTACAAAGCATAAACAAAAGCAGTCGAGATACCAGGGTTCGAATCACGAACCTTCCAGTTAGTGAGCTTGTTGCATCCTTACTTTGGATTTTCGGACATCCCCAAGAGTTGCCGAATTTCCTTTCTGATGGTGATTGAGCCTTAGCTATCTGGTAGTAAACCCTTACCACATACACCAATTTTCTCCAAATAAACAGGGCAGTCGGCTAATGTTTCGTGGGGTGCACGTAGGAGCGGGAATAATGAAAACAGGCAAGTAGGAATTATTTGTAAAGTTGTTCAGGGGGAACGATACATGTAACCAGATAAGCCTTGTGCTGCCCCGTTATTTCATCCTAGATGGCTTTTTCTTCTGCTATTGAGACTTTTGGATATAATATTTCTCCAAGTCTATCTGGGTGATCTGCAGCGGTACTAGCTGTTTGGCATGTTAGTCAATGTCCAAGCATAAGATTTACCTTCAGTTGGTATTGTTGGTACGTCCAAGTTTTACAGAATTTGTCACTTTGACCGCATTCAAAGCAAGGAAGCACGAACCTAAAGAGTGCACTACCTTAAGTTTAATAATGTGAGTTCCGTCAATAAAGATCTGTAATATTGCTTTCCAACTGTCAGTTGAATCTCATGGATAGTTCCACATGGTAATATTTCTCCTTTTTCCTTTCTAAAACTCAGGTTGCTGAAATAGCGCGAAGCTCAGATTCTGGTTCTCACTTCAGTCCTCGAAGCATCCCGGTGCGACACTTTTTGACATGGCTACGCTTCGGACCAAAAACAATCATCTGGCTTCCGCTTCTCCATCGGATTATGCTCGCTGAGCAAGTTGTTCACAATGTGCGTTGTGGTGTATGTCAGCGTCAGCCACTAACCGGCTTGCGGTAAGTTGTACAAGCAGTGGACTGCTAGCTGCAGTTCGTCTACTCATGTGAGGACAGTAGTTTACGATATCCCGAGTTGTTTTTCTCCACTCCGACGAGAAAACGACCCTGGAAGTACAGATAACGCAGATAAACTTTGATGTAGTACTTGTTGTCAAGACCTATATCATTGGGTGGTCAAGACTGTGTGCAGTTTTCAGCTCAGAAGATAAAGCATGGCGCTATATCATGACTAGGTGCAAGCTAATCACACTGCTAATCAGCCGCCCGTGATCAAACGGTCAAGTGTTCGAACCAGGAGACGCAACAAGGATGAAGTAGCTGTTAGTTGCTTCTTAGTTTTCAACATAGATTGGCTTCACTCACAGGACGAAATACCTGTTGAAAATTCCCAAGTCTCCTCAAGCTACCAACAAAACACTATTGTCTCCACTGAATATAGTCTCATTTACTGTAACTAACTCACAATTAGAAACAGAGGTATATTGCCAATCAGCCCCCCCCCCCAAACACGTGCACCGAGAAATGATACGCCTTTTCCTACAAAGGCGAATAGCAATTATTGAGTTTTTCCACCAAAGACCGAAAAGAACAGAGGTTGCGTTGAATAGTATGGGGCCTGTCATTTCTAAAAATTTGTCTGGTTTATAGAGTCTTCTTCAAACCAACTCAAGGGCAGCCCTATGTAGATTGTATGCTGGAAAAGAATGTCCTAGTTACTGCTTGCGCTTCCTACCGTTCATATGACTCGACCTTCTGGTAAGGGGGAAAATTTACCTAGATATTTTAGCCTCCCGAATGATGAGCCATTGGTACCGGATGACTATGCTGTCACACCGACTGAATGGTGTGAGACCTGATCATAAAAGTAGCCTAGAAAAGTTCTGAAGAACACGACGTTCATGACTAACAAATATTTTGTTTTCTCCCAACCGCCGTTGTTTTTAAACAATCGACCATTTATTTTTTCTGTTCCTCAGGTATCGATGTCTCCGGTGCCTCAATTTCGACTTGTGTCAGCAATGTTTCTTCTGTGGCTGGACAGCAAGAAATCACAAACTCTCCCACCCGATGCAGGAATACTGCACGAATGTGAGTTGATGAAACACTTGGGTGAATCGTGCCTGAGTTATATGAGACACAACAGTGGACACAACAGTCTCTTTACGCAGGTCGACTGGCAAATTTGACCCCATCTGCTTTTAAAGCTGTGTTTGCGTTAACTAGAACAGAATAGAGCTGACTGCACCATAAAATGAAAGGACTGTATTAGGTCATAATTCAGGCTTTTCGCCTAAAGCCTGTAAACACCTCGTCTTAAATCTGGCCAAGAATGAACGACATTTTCTAGGTCAGCCATGCTTTTTGCCGTCTGAAATAATCCGGAATAATTTTGTCCGGGCTACTAAATGGACGCACTGATAATGTGAACAGCTCTATTAAAAACGGTTAACGGCTGTACATCAGTAGCCGCACGTCAAGTTCACTTGTTGCAGCGTGCGGAGCGACATGACATGCTCAAAGACCATGAAGTTTTCTGACAGAAGAATCATTAGTATCTCTTAATTATCACGTATTCAGAACTCAAAAGTACCTTGTACATTGGAGAGACAAAACGGCCGACAAATTACGTAAGTAGACTTGGTCTGGTGGCTTTTTTCATAAGTATCTCATCATGAGAGGTAATCCTGTTTCATCAAACCTTTTATTCCTGGATGTCAGCACTAGTAAAATACAGGTCACCTTGACAAGATAACTAAGATCGATTTCTCCGCATTTACAGTTTCAATACTTTGACGCTTCGGCCCAACCTCTTATTCCCGATGTCCTTGTTCATTTTTCTGTTTGATGAGACCTTTGGTGGCTGATTCACATGGCTAGAGGCAAGGTTACTTTATTTGCACAGGGAAAGAAAAGTCTGGTTTCTCGTGATCAATCAGAGTAGGCAAATTCACATCAGTTAATCAGTTTTGCACAGAATGCCATCGTTAACAGTTCTGTTTCTCGTATTTACTGGGATTCTGGTAAATGTAGTGTACAAGAACAATGGTCGATGCACCGTCTAACCATAGAATATTTGTTTTAGCCAGTACTTACAAAGACAGTCGGTTTCTTGTCTGCATTTCTGGCTGTTTTGATTAAACCAGTCATTCTCCGCCATAATCATGGATTTATCCATAAAGTCACTGCCGTAGGACCTTTCAGTCCAGGTACAACAGATTCTCATTATATGCGTGAAAGGAGAAAGTCATTTGCTGAGAAGTTGCTTACTAACAAACACAAAATCAGCGGTTACAAAGTAAACATGTCATCTCCGCAAAACTTCTGAAAAGTGAGCATTCTGACTCACATTTCAGGATTCTGAAATGGGAAGGTTTGTAACTCAAAGCAATCAGGTCAGGCCCATTTGCACCAGCCAACAGAACTAAGCTTTCCACGGTATAAAATGGCAAAGGATTTTGTTGACGTAACACCAGATTCAGTCCTTGCAAAAAAGCATGGCTTTGATGCGCCGGTGCTAGTAATGCAAGCTGTACGTGACTCCACTGAGCTAATTTGCTGACAAATCAGCGTGCTTGAAAATGAATTATTCATCCTAAGGCAAATGTGGTGACTGGAAATCAGGATGTAACCTCGCCTGATGCGATCATTATTCACATGAACGATAACAGCCATGACAGTCAAATTCGGTGGGATATTGCTGACACCTGTTAGAGGATAAGTCGGCTCTAACAGAGATTTCTGTGGTAGTTAGTGCAGGTGATACCGTTAACACCGATTAGTACACGACCGAGTGTGTAACCCCGGTCTTCGCATGTTCAAGGTAGGCAAGATCCCACAGTTGTTCGAGCATATTATTCACAATCTGACTCAACACAGTTAAGTGTTGAGGGAGTTTGAAATAATATGCACCAACAATTGAAAATACCGCGATGAAATATAACGTGATTCTCTTTTGGGTGTATCGGATAGTGATAACGCCTCTGGCTTCGTTTGCTTCAGGTTAGGCAAAACTCAACGCTACTGTCTTCACAAGGTTAGGTACTGCAACACGCACCGTGTCCTAGAGACACCTACATTATGGAAATATTTCTGTCGGTAGGAAACTTGTCCTTAAGCATCGACTTAGCCAAATGTGATGTGTCCTGGTGGGAGGGCCAAAGTAGGTGCTTGTAACTGTTGGACAGTTTTATCCGGCCAGTGAACAAAAGTTCCTATGGAAGCATTAACCGTCCAGAGAGCGGCCGGTGTTCGAACTATGGGACGAATTCTATCCAATCGTCCACTTCCATTTTTTTCTCCCTTCCTTAATAGTCCACCTCTGGAGATTCATTTCGCGATTTCACCCGAATTGTACGAAATCGACTTCGTTCACGAGACAGAGGAGGACAGCGTTCAGATTCGGAACAGACAAGCATCACAACGAGATATTCGCGTGGCCGCAGTACTTGCTGTGACGCAAACTCATTTGGAGAAGAGTAAGTGTTGAAACGGTAACAAAAATACTCAACCACGAAGGCTTTCGACGGCGTATGTGTTACTGTAAAATTGTTTCGAAAGTCGATTGAGTGCTTCAGTAATCAAGAACATTGGTCTTTTCACCCCCTACGCTAGCAAACCACGACCTGCTCCAACTTTTGGGCCCGATCTGGTATCTTTACTTCCAAGAGATTCAGCATTGCTGGATAGCTCACCATTCAAGCGGAACGACTGGTCGAAAGGTGGTGATTCCATTGGCACACCGGACGATCAAATAGTTCGTTCGCATGCTCAGGCTCCAGCAGCCAGTGAGCCGCCGATCAGTCGACCAAGTTCTAGTCAGGTACCTCACAGTCCCGAATATCGCTTGCCACCACGTGCAGCTTCCGACACACGGCAGTTCCAACGGGGAACCCTAAGTGATGGTACTGGGGTTACTGGACGAAGTACATTCCCCAAATCACAGTTCAGTAGGCTGCAACACACCAACGCGATTGACATTGACGATGAGCACAATCTAATCGCTCAATACAGCAATGAGCTAAGACAACAGAGTGAACCAGATTTGGTAAGTTAGTTTTGGTTGTGATAACCGCGTCTGATTTATTCTATGTTTGCCCGATTATGAAGTTGAACGTGCTTCTGGCACTTTCGGAGAGAGGAGAATTTTGAACAAACACTGGAAATAATGAAATCGTGCTAATCACTTGATTATCAAGATGAGCGAATTTCATTGAACTGGATTTCGCAAAGAAAGCGTGATCGATAGCCAGACAGAAACAGGAAATTCTTCCGATTGACATGCATGGTTTTTATCAGTCTCCAATGGACTACGTTAAGAACTAGACCAAAACTGAGCATATTAACCTTTTGTTAAATTCTGATCCCCTTTTATCAGCCTTATTTCAAAGCAAAAACATGGAGTTCTGTAGGTTATTTTTCGTTGTGGACAATTTCCCCCTGTGGACGATTTCTCCGAGAACTGCTGTTACACCGACATAGCTTGGTGGTTTATGCTTATCTTCTCTCCGTACGGTCTTTGGCTCAAACGCAACCTTGACGTTTTGGCTGCCGGTGTCTTTGGAAACTTGAAAATATTTCAGTTGTTAGCATTTTTAGGTTTTGTGGTGGCTGTACGGCAGAAGGTCGCTACAACGAGACGTTTTGACTTGTTATTTCGCTGGTGTTTCTGTTGTCTCTTCAACATCTGTCAACATCATGCACACAGGCCCAGCAGTGCTTAGTAACTTAGTATACGATGGAACTTGATGTCCAATTAAAACGGGTTCGTCAATTTCCGCTCAGTACCTACATTGTGCGTGCGCACCGAACAAGGATATGAAGTCTTCTCAATCCTAATACACATGGCAGATTTGTGGGAAGCATTTTTCCAGATGTTTACCCAAGTATGTTGTTTGACAATCTGCGACTGACTAGTTAGAACTGTCTGTGAAATGTTTGCACAGAAAAGGATTATATGAATGAGTGAACAGTGGCAAAAGCTTTGCTTTTCTAATTGTTAAAAACGGCGATAATGAGCCTGTTTGAACACTCAAACAATTGTTTCCTTGTAGCGTGCAGAAAATCACAGTAAAGTCGAGTGGGGACGCTTTCTTTTACAGTCCATCACCCCACGCACGTCCAAGCTGCGCAGAGCTAACAGGTGATCATGATATTGCTTCGCTCTACTTTATTTAAGCTACTTTGCCACCAGATGAATTTTATAGATCTATGGAACAGTAATCAATGGGATGTTCTTTAATGGACCTACCGGTCAGCTAAACTTAAAGTTTCTTATTTTCACATAAGGTCTGCCGCTTTATAAGCCATCTTGAATAGAACATTAGGCTGACCCAGATTTGGGGACCACTTCTGCTTGATGAATTCCAAGAAGACTGATACTGACCATGGGCTTTCAAAGAGCCTTCTGCGGCCTCAGGAGTTTTATCTTCCTCCGAAATATTGTCCTCACTTTTTGTTATCATCTACTTGCAAAGTACACCTGTCGTGGCGTTGCTGAACCAAATTTTAGCTTGCCTAACCTTACACTTCATGCTCTTCTTACACAGAATCCTGTCCAGCAAATGGTGTCATCCACCCATTCCGCTGTTCCGGCAATTATGGATCGATCAACCATCTCCGATGGTATTCCATGCACACCAGTTACAGCGTTAGGTAACGAGGCGTTGCCTGCCCATGCAGGACATTCAAGTCTGGACCGCAGACAACTTGGCCGATTGACAGGTGGACAACCCTACCTCTCCCACGGTGGTCCCCAAAACGGTTCACTGGATGTGCAACCGAGTTACTACCCTGGCGCGCCTTATCCTTATCCACTGTCTTCTAATCCCGCATTGCCCCGGATGATCTCGAATGAGTCCCATATGATCCCTAATATCCAGCGTTCCTATTCTCTACGTGCCCGCTCTCAACCCCCACCGGATGTCCACGGTTTTCGACATAACTTCGGGCCCAACTTCGATCCCCGATCACCTTGGCCACCTGCTTCGCAGCCAGTAAACTACCATGGAAATAATGATCAGGTGAGAATATCTACAATTTAAATTGGAGCAACTCAAGTTACCGGATTGGGCCTTGACATGGTTAAGAGCCCCACTGTTTAAAAATTGGCTAACTTTTGCCGCAGTTGAAATCATTGTCACTCACCAGGCTGCTAGTTCAGAAACCAACCTACATACAACGCCAGATTCAGCATCTGTTCAAATCCTCAAAGTTGCAAAATTGCTACCGTGAACAAAAATGTGAATGTTGTGGCCGACAAACGAGACTCTGATATCTGCAGCATGTTAGCGTTACTAATGCCTTCATTAATTGAAGTTGTCAACTTCGTCGGAAGTTCACAAAATCAGTTTGAAGCACCTGTAAGTGCATGGCTCATTACTAACTCTATGCAGGTGTAACAGATGTTTCTTACTCTACTTATGAGACATCACTGTAGGGGAGACAATCTGATATACTTCGAAAGCATTTTTCACGTGAGGAAAGCTGTAGCTGAAGTAAGCGCTGTTCACCTCCAGTCCCGTTTCGGTATTGGTTGACCTTGTGATCATAGATTTGCTATAAACTTTTATGGATGCTTAGCTTGCTGCGCAGTAAGTGTGCACTCAGACGATAAAATGTTGTCCGTCCCACCTGCAGACCATGCGAACGTTAGAAGATGAGCGGAAGCTACTTCAGATGGAGTATGACCGACTACGCCAGCGTACGAACACACCAACGTATTTACCTAGTTCGTCCTCTTCCAGGCTGCAAGCGCAGCAAGCTCAGCAACGTTTCGCGCGAATGCAGCTCCAACATCAATTCATGAATCAACAGCAACAACAAGATCCAATGCGAGCCAGCTTGGCTAGACCATATCTCCCCCGCATTCCGCTCCACAGACCACCCTCAGTTGGTTCTGCATTTCCTAATGGACCGCTTAATACCGGGTATGTGATTTCTTTCCTCTTCTAAACTGAATAAAGGTACCCAAAACTTAACCTATTCCTTTCAAAAGTTTATACTTTGTCCACTTTTTCTCAAATGTAGAGTATCCTTCTTCGTGCCGTCAATATGAAGAGCAAATGAAACTTATTTGGTTTTAATCTAAACGAAATTTTTTAACCCAGAGGAACGCTTGTGAATCTCACATTATTTGAAGTGCCCGATCAAACTAGATGAGAGCCCATAGGTTTTTGTTTGTTAGGTGGCAGTAAGAGCTGTTGTGCACTTTTTCACGTATCTCAAAAGGCGTCTAAGAGAAGTGTTTGCCCATTGCTTAGCGTTTGGTGCCGGCTCTCTAGTCCCCATTTTAGGTGAGAAAACAGAGGTAATAAGGCCACCAGAAATATACTTTGTTGCCAACGATTGGATGAAACGATACCAGCTGTTCGCCATGAGTACTGATCTCAGGCAACAGTCACAACTTTGCATTCGGACTGTAGATGCTTCGAACCATGAAAGCTTGTGAAAAAGTATGGAGCAAACAACCAGTGACGAGGCCGAATTAGCTTGTGCATATACTGAAATCTAATAGAGAACTTTTTCTAGGGCATTTGCGTTCAGAAGCTTAGGGAATACTTTTGTCGCCCTATAATTGCCCAAGTTGAAGAACATATGGGTCCGTATTCAGCATCCTCAGGGTTGGCAAATACTAGAACTACAAGAGCCTGTCATCACGTCTCGTTCTAGGTTCACGGCTTCCATAGCTCTTCATTTTTTATCTTTTACTTCGCCAAAATACATTCACAAAATGTTCCGCAAAATTTGTCAAGACTTTTCTAACGGTGAAATAACCATTCCATATTTTGTGTGAAAAGTGTAGACCAATTAGACTTGCAGCGTTTAACCCAGAAGCACAAAGGAAGCAACTCGATTAACTGATAGCAGCTATTCAGACCACCGGTCAACATCGGTTAAGAAGTTGGAGAGGTAGAGCACACCTCAGTCCAACCATTGCAGCTCAGTAATCTATAAAAAAAGTAAGCGTACCACCGCCAACCATGAGCCACAATTTCGCAGTAGTGCTAAATATGCACTTCTCGCTTCAGACGAATGAGGTAGTGTTCAGTTATTTCGTCACGCTCGCTCATGAATATTGGCTCGGGGACGGTGAAAGTGTAGGTGAGTGTACACCGGATATATTAAAAGAAACTGTTCAACCTTCATCAAAACACAAGCAGTCAGAAGAAAAGTGGCACCGAATGTGCTTGCTCAAACCAGATAATTACACTGTTGATCGTCCTCGTGACAATCATTGCCCTCTTCGTGCAACTCTGCTTCAGTAACATTGTCATTATCACCGTCATCGTTACTCATGTTGGTATTAGTAGTATTTTTCTCAGAACGTTCGGCAATACACAAGCCAGTACAGGACATTAGTGTGTAAACGTCATGCAGCCGTGGCGGAAGAGACTCCATAAAAGACTAACTGAAATGAGACGACTTGGAACCGATTGCCATGATGGATGAAGAGAAACAGTTGGGAATATTATTCCCACACCTTTTGAAAGTTAAAACTTTACACGTTGGGCTAACTTGCCATCAGTGAGTCCAGCTCAGCATTCTTTCCAAATCTTACCTGGCACAAACCCAGAACATATCTACTGACAAGCGTTTTCTAGGCAGTCCGGTCAAGAAGAAACAACAAACTCGTCACTTGGGTCCACTTAGAGCCATCGAGGGAAATACTCAAATTGAGACGAGCTTCATTCATTTAGTCTTTCCACGTCAAGGCCAGTCTTACAGTGATCATTCGCCAACAGGTGTTTGGATTGGAAACATCGGCTTTGTTTGGTGAACTTTGAAGTTGAAGAGGCCAGTTTAAACAAGCGTTTTGGGCACAATCCTCTACCTTCATTGGGAGTCGTTCCCGACACCAAAGATAGTGCAACATGCTAAAAATTGCCCATACCTTGAAAATAAGCGTATCCCATTCATCTACCACAGTCGTCATTATCATTTTCATCACCATCATCATCACCGTCACTATTGTCGTCAACCAGACTAGGCCTGTTGTTTTTGGATGGTTCTAGTTACCTCAGATTTACTTGCCGCTATACTGGAAACTCTGATGTTGATGAATCTCCCCAGTTATGATGCTACCTTCTTCCACTATTCTTGGAAAAGTAGTAGGTATCGTAAGTGTAGGTTCTCACCTTCTCGGTATCTGATTCCATTTCAGCCCTTTCGTTATCCTATCCGGCTTCCAGAAACAGAATCGACCTAAAGTTCTGAAGTCCCGAGTTGTAAGCTAAGCCACCGCTCTCTCACTTATCGTCCTTTTACCATGGTGCGTGATACTACAATCGTTCATCGGCCTAAAAGACACTGGCTGTAGGACCTTTGTCACTTGTGATGGTCTTCGTTAATAAGCGTGAAGGAAAAGACGAAAATTAGTCCATTATCACCGACCAATAACTGAAAAAATGTTTACACAGGAAACAAGAATAGCTGGAAGTTCTTGGATGGGTCTGAGGCAGTAAACAAATGAATACCCAGGATATGCGATTTCGAGAAACACAGCTGATGAAAATGATTCCTCACTTCATCACACTTCACTAGTGGACAGCTCACCTTCCCGAGTTTATGTGCCCTTTAACTACCATCAGGCCACTTGATCCTAATCCTTTGGACGCCCAATATACAAATAGCAATCTTTAGGTCAGAAACCTGCGTTACGTCGTTTCGTTTAGTTACAACTGCATAACAGTCGACCTTATAGTTTATTCTATTGGGACAGTCAGTAACGCGGCTAAGCTCCATAATCTGAAATTGTCCCTAAAATGTTAGCAAACTTGGTTAGCTAAGCTGAAATGTGAGTACCACCGTTAGGAAGAAGACCGGAGGAATGGTCGGAAGTGAACCTCTTGAGTGATCGTCTTATTAACATTCAATCTGTCACCCGGTTGATAATTTCTCATAGAAAGAAGGCCCCAGGTTTGCACCGAAGTTGTGATTCGTATCAGCATCCCTTGATATTAGGCTATTAAAAGCACAGTAGGGTGGTTATGACCATGGTTTCAAATTGCAGTATGCACTTCATCACTCTGAGAGTCTTGTTAACGAAATACTACAGTTCATTTTTGATGGTATCAGACTATTTTGTCCAATTACGGATGAAACAGTTATGCAAACAACCTGTAGAAAACGACTGTGGTTCTGTTATGTGCGTCCACCAAAAGGTGTTTATTCTGATGGCAAATTCTTACACGTGTTTGTCTTAGCTCATTAACTCTGGAGTTACAGAAAAGGTAGTTCAAAACGGAAAACAGGTAGTAAGCAGCTACACAGTTACACCCATGATTTAGTCCGTTGTTCCGATTTATTATTAATCGGTTTTTCACTAACCTGACGCATATGTACTGCCCACAGTCCACCTACAATCACCGGACGAGTTAACTACGGAGGAAGCCTTGGGCGCTCAAAAAATACTTCCAACGGCTTCGGCTATCTTATGGATAGCTATGGTTCCGAGCCTCGTGTTGGTGGCTACCCCTATGGATTTGAGGCTGGCGGTATGGATCCCATGTCAACAAATCAAAATGCCGTTTCTAGTGAACTGGCAATCGAAGCTCGCCGACTACGGGAACATCGGGGACGCCTTGAGGTGCGGATGCAGCAACTTGAGGACCAGAACAAACAACTGGAACACAAACTGCAACGCCTACGGCAATATTTGATATCCGGTGGTACAGCATCAGGAGTGGGTGGTCCTAGCAGCACGAACAAGATACCAACAGAACTGCTGTTGGACCGCATCAATGCCAACTCAAAAACTAGTCTAAGACAGGTAATGTCTGACTATTTAAACTGCGTTCAGGATTGTGCTAAGCTCCTAGGCCCAATTGACAGATACGTGAACAGCATTCTCACTATCCACCATCTTATTTTAAGAACCCCGTACCTGTGAAATAAAACCCCAATCTGTCTTTTTTGTTTGAGGATCGCTTGAAAGCGGTTGCATTATCTAGTGGAATTCGGTAATGGTGCTGAATTTTGATGGAAAAGATAAGGACAGAGGAGAGGCTTGTTGTATAAGTTCAACACTGGACTTGGGTAAACTATTCACCGTTCTTTCCTGATGAACTGGCAAGATTTTATAATTGTGAAGCACAAACGATATGGCTTGCTTGAACTGGGCATCACTCCAGTTCTTCCTTTGTCAGTAAAACGTGACTAGGATTCGAAACCTGATGTTCATGCAACGAAGATAGTGTTAGAAGTGGTCTACGTGGGGCCTATAGATCTCATATCTTCAAAACCTTTTGCAACAATAGTAGCGTATACGCCATTCTCTTCGTTACATTCTTGAGCAAAAGTGCCGATAGTGAAAGTAGGGAGAGCTCCTCTACCTTCTCCTTTTAAAACGAATCATCTTACTATTCAGCACTATCAAGGGACCATTTTCCCAACACTAGTAAAACTTACATAAAAACATTGTTACACTTTTTCAGGGACTGCGTAAAACATGGGTATGTGATTACTGGTAGAGTTTATTTTGAAACCAATCTACACATGTTTGTTGTGTGCCAGAGTTTTGCCCTGCGCTCACATTCCCTTCAATCCTGCACCAAATTTATTGTGATATCCGCATATGATTGCACAGGGTGATTTACATTTAGATGCACCAACAAGTGTGTTCTGCTCTTTTCGCCACTTTCAAGACATCCAGTATCATTCCCCGGTAGTTCTAGAGTTACTCTAATAAATGGAAGCTAAATGCTTGTTCCCATTATGTCTAAAAGTTTCTTTCATAAGAAACTGAACAATGGGTGACACTTTGGGTGAGTCCTTTTAGGCGGCCTTCAAGTAAGAATAACTATATATTAAAAATGAGACATCCAGCTGACAACACCATCTCTTCATTAAAGCCGCATTCTTCGAATCTGCTCAGATGTGCAAATAGAGGCTCTTCTGCTATCCACCAGCCAATCACAAGACAAGAGTCGTTTATCAGCTGATCAATGACAAAGGAATGACTCACAGCTGATTCTCCGCCTAATTGCTGGTCAACTTTTCCCACTCTAACTAGAAGAGCATGACCGCAAAACAGACTAGAAAATATTCGAACAGATAATATGCAACAGAGAAAGGTGTAGTAAAGTGTAGTAAGCAGCACCTTTTTAAATATACTTTTTTTTGGTTGAAATGAGTAGTAACTCTGCTGTTGGATGCATCTATCGCGCCTAAGGGATCGATTGGAAGGCCCATTCCGATACGGTTCTGTCCTTATATGGATTTGACCAGAGGAGTGAAAAGTGAAACTGATGAATCCCATCTCACGAGATGCATGTATATACTTGAAAGGAATCTATACAAATATTTCGATTGATCAAGTTTGAACATCATTTGCATAAGTGTTTTGTGCGTACAATCTTTTACCGCGACTGAATGGTCGCAGTAGCCTCGTTGTTTACGCATCGACCCGTTGACGCTTGATTTGAGTGTGCTGTACATTCGAAGGAAAAACGTGCTACCAGATGTTTTACCGCGCCATGTTTCCATTAAGTATTTGGGCAACAGTCAGGAGTTCTTCCACGTAGGTTCTAACGCCAGTATAATCGGTAGCACAACTTCTGGAGCGCGGAGAGGCGAAACATCGTTTACACCTTGTGATATGAAACTGACACTAGTCTGATGGGAACACAGCCTGCGATAAGATTTTTTTACAACGATAAATGCACCTCAGGTAAATACAACCTGTTGGTTTTCCGTCAAAGGTGGCAACTTTTACAGGTACCAAACAAACACTAGTTGAGAAAGCCGAATAGAAAACATAAAAGAATGGGAAATAGGCATGATAAGATTATCGGGTCAGACAAAACCACTTCGAACAGCTCTCATTGAATATCTGGATGGCGGGTTTATTTACGTCTTTCCGTCCCTATGTTGAACAATCAATCAGTCGGTGTTATGGTCATAGCCGTTCACAGATTTGCACATTTCTTGTGCCTAAAGACCGCATAATCTATAGTTTGAGTTGAGACTAGGCCTGTAAGGTGACCGTTCCAGCTCGTTCACTGAAAATAACACAAATCGACTCTTAATGAGCTGAATACGAGTATGGACGTACCAGTGCAATGTTTCACTGTGTGGACTTAGTGATCTGAGCGTTATGGACAGCTTGGCATCGCTAATTCTCTGATTTTCTGAAGACGAAAATTGTTTATATGTTTAAACACGTGATCTGCTATTGGCTAGTCACTAAAGCCAATCGAAACACCGCCGAAACCATCTTTCCGCTTACGTATGTGTTCAGATAAACCAGTGGAATAAACTGCTTCTTTTAAACAACTGAAAATAATCGCTAGATGTTGTGATAGGAATGTACTCGAGAATGCATATTTTCTGTAATTGTTCACTTTGGCTGGTGTATCACAGTTTAATTTGCAAGTGGACCTAAATCGGACGTATGGTCGGATACATTCATTAAGAGGGCTGGGACAATGAGTCACGGAACGAGATGGATTATGTCAAAGTGTAACTAAGCTGAGTGCTACCGTCTTGTGGCCGTTCACAGCTTATTCGGTTTCCATAATTTAACCGTCATATGTCCATTAAGCTAAGTATTCACTGACCAGTGAAACCGTCCTCCTTGTCCCTCATATATTTTCACCCGTGCGTGTGTCTAACACTTTGTAATGTTTTATCCACGATGAGCATCCAATGAAAACAGGCTTTGTTCGGCACCCTCTCTCTTGTTTTGTTGATGGAATGTGAGACGTCCGTCATTTGCAGCTGAAGCTCCTCTGGTCTCATGGAGCGCCTGAAAAATTCGTGAATGTCATTCGCAGCCACAGAGTCACGTTTAGTTTCCCAAAGAAGACTTCTCGACAGATAGAAAGGATATCACTAGAAAACGAAAGCTGCCTTCTATTCACTTCAATAGGACCCTTCAACGGAACAGGTTATTGTCAAAACTAGTGTATAGTGATATTTAGGTGATATCGTTCGGCAAGATCTACTATTGCCAGAGCTGGACCAAATTCCTCTTAAGGATTTGTATTCGGTTGACCCCACTCAACACTGCCAGTGAATTGATACACAACCATAGTGCATCGATATGGGACACAACAAGGCTTGTACGCCTCAGAGTTGTTGCAGAATCCAAGGCAACATTACGGACTGCTGCTATTAGACCTCAGGTTGGCTTGTAGTTAAGATGGAAAGTAGAATTTCCGATTGTGTCCCCCTTAAAAGCGACTCCTTCTAAGTTTTCCAAGCCAAGCTTTGAAGTTTAGCGTTCCCGAATTAACATTACAAAGTATTCTATGGAGGAAAATGTCGGTAGCTCAGGTCGCACAGATGGTTCTTGGCTTGTTCGCTGAGGTGGGTAATTTGATTGCAAACATTTCATCAATAATCACCACTTCGCACCACTAAGCTCCCCAACAACGCACTGATGATGTCAGCTCGATTGGTAATGAAACGTTTGCAATCAAATTGCCCAGCCCATCGAACAAGCCAACAACCATTAAAAAGTATTTAAGCGATAACGCTCGTGACCATACATGATATTCTTCTGCTGAATGATATTGGAAATGTTGTAAAGTACTTTCTTGACATGTTTCACCTAGACAACCCACTACCAATTTCGCCTTTCTTGGGGCCCACCATGGCGGTCTGGAGCCCAGGTTTCCAATTACCTTATTCTTCTGGAAAACTGAATTGTGCGCCGCTGGTGAACTACATGTGGAAATAACGTCTGCGCTACCGAGAGACTCATTTGCGCCCTTGTACGACATTCCTTAACCAAAAAATAAGGGTGTGGAAACTACGGAATTACACCCCAAGAGAGGTGAAATCAGCAGTACGTTGTCAAGCTGATACCAGTAGCCTCATAAGTAGTAATTTATCGTGAAAACGGAGGATCATATATTTTTATTGTTAATATTTCATTTTTGAGCAGTCGCATGCATCTGAGAGGCCACCTCCCTCTCAGTTGAAGAGAATTTTGGATTTTGTGTCCAAGTTCGGTTCTAAGGTTACTTCGAGCATTACTTCACAAAAAGATCTAGACACTTTGCATTCGTCATTGACATGCCCCGATTGGCATTAATATTTGCAAAATACTGTTCAGTAGTTCTGAATGCACCCAACATGGTTTAGTATTCCAGGGTGTGTAAGTGCATGATCGTTTACGACTAAAAAACCACCGTGAAACGTGACTTTTGTCTGACTAACCTACACTCAGATACCACTGCCAGAAACCGCCGATTTGGCCGTGAGATAATATTAGTCCACTCAGTGGATTGTAAACTGATGTGGTACACAGTTATATGGCTGCAAAATTTCCTGAAAATGGGTCTACACAAGGGTTTTCACCACACGTTCGATGACCATCTGACTCAAGTACGCGTAAGCAATACTTCGACTGTGATTATTGGGACGCAGTCTCATCTGCTTTGTGCAATGACATTTCCCTACCTAGCAAAATGGTTCTCAAGATTTCTTCGGCTTACAATAATTCACAAAGTCAAATAAATTATGGTATTGCTGAGATATTTTGAAGGAATACAAATCAAACCAACATCCATGTCCGTGATGGATCCTCTCTAATAACTAAGCGGTAATCTTTGTACATATCGAGCCTTCGGTAGAAAGGCACATTCCAATCCAAAACCTTAATAACTCAGATCATGAATACTGGTTTGCAGTTTGTACAGTAAGTGACAAATTGCAGAATAGAGATGGAAGTTTGATGTACGTAAAGCCACATTAATTTATTCATGAGCTCTCACGTCAGATAGACAGTCGCATACAAGTATAGATAGAGTTACACAATTACGCTTTGACGGATTTGTTTGAAGGCTCCATAGCTAACCGTGGCTGGTTTGCGAAAATATTGAGATTGGCCCAATATTTGGCTTTCAGCGTTCGGCTTCTGGAGGATTGGCTAGTCAGGCATACCCGGTGGACGGAAAATCCTACAGAGGGAGCGGCAGCGTCGGACAACTTATCGGTCCAGTCAGCCTAGAGATAAAACAGGCCGGAACAAAAACACCGGTGAATTCGATTGATCGCTCTCAACAAGAGGAGCAGAATAAAATCACTTCAACGCCGCAAGATTACTATCAAGTCCCTGTAGATGACTCCTTCCCAGGTGAGTTCAACTTGAAACATATTTGGCGGTGTGCCATGAATACTTTGTTACATCGCACCTAACATCGCTTTTTTAGCTGCAAAAACAATATCGAACGCGAATCCGGCGCTTGACTACAGACCTAAATCCATAGATTAGACGAAAAATCAACCACCTGCTGTTGTTGTGTTGGAATATTGGTAGCTTGGGTGTATTCGTTGGTAATTGATCAGGTGGCTGTTGATCTGTTCGCCGACTTTGGCAAATGATTTGCAAACGTTTCGTCACTATTCGAGGAAACGTTTTCAATGCGTTATTGGATGAATAGTCCCTCTCTTGACGCTCGCGTGTATATAGTTTTCATTTAATTTGTGTTTCTTTGTCTTGTACAACAAAAATCCTCTTGCCATATTTTAATACTGTTAAAAATTTTTATGCGATAAAACGCATGACAGCATCCTCAACACTTCCCCCGAAAAACGAAAGCACTCATGAGCGAGTGAAATCCATGTTTCCAGCATTTGTTGAAGTGCATTTGATGAGGTACGACATTCCGTTAGCTTGTTACGGAGGGTTTTCTATTCAGAAACTGTCGCTGATTTTATAGTAACCCTAAACGTACGATAATTTAAAACCTCTCCATTACACGCTTATTTGGAGGCCACTTTTACAAGTTGCTGAATCTGGTCGATCCTATCGTATTAATGACAGGACCACGATGCAAAGAGTTCTTACCCATCAAGCAACAGAACTAAAGAGTTATTTGTCTCTATGTTTCCTCCAGAATAATAAGATAAACTGTTTTTTCGCTAGTGTACAGTGCTAGATTTTGTGCACCCATTCCAGTGGATTAGGGCAGGTGGAATTCTCCATATTTTGTGCCCTGAAATCATCGCTGAAGTTCTCGTTTTTGGTTGATCCGTTCGTAATTGGCACATAAATTTCTTTTTTTTCAGTTTTAACTTCACCCGGCCCCCAGACTGATGATGGTCACACAACTTTCCGCCCGACTCTGCTACGATCGGATTCCAACCAGTATTAAAATGGGTCAGTGGAACACAGCCCCGAAGGACCGAGATGTCCTGTACCTCGATGCTTTCAAAATCCGTCTTGCACATCTACCAGTCTATCCTTCCCCCTAACGCTTTTCCGGCTGCCATTAATATACCCAGTTTCAACCATTTTTTTTCTGTGATGATGCACTACAGAAACACAACTTTGCTTGCTCAGTCCTAGGGTCGATCACGACAAAAATAGTAGTACACAAAAGCCAATCGCATCAGCTCCAGACTACGCGCGTTCTTCCTGAACCAGACGACCCGATGCGCACGTTGTCTGTTTCAGTTGAACTCTGTTCCTCAGTGCGATGAGGAGGGATTACGATTTGCTTTTTCTCTCTTCCTTTTATTTTGCACACAATCTCAAACATCTGCTTATTTCAACTGGCTGAAGGTTTTCGCGAAATCACACCGTGAGGGCCTCATTTGTTTTTCAAGTTATATTACCCAAGCTATGGCACGATGGGGCTCTGTCTAAAGAAAACTATGTACCAACCATAAGACGTGATTAAATTTGTATTCGGAAATATTAATCTATTTACTTTCTGAAAGTAGATTGTTATTGTTATTATGGGGTTGCTGCGTTTGGCCTGAACGCCACTGGCGTCACTGTAATGCTCAGTCAAGCCAAGCGGTACTTTTGAACTCAGAACAGAAGTTATCTCGTTTTTAATAGACTTGACACTTTTCATGTGGGGGTGATCGTATCTGACCTTTCCGATAGAGAAGCACTTGGACCATGCGATCCTTGTTCGTGTGTGCCTTGAACTTCTGAGCTTAGGTTACTCTGCAACTCGTCTGCTGGTTAGCAAATGCACGCAGCTGCATTGCCGCTATTTTCTCAAAAGTATGGGCTGGACAGCTACTAGAAACTTATGAATTATTCATCATTCAAGTTTCCAGAGCCGTTCGCGCGCTGTGCAATGTTCCACCAAAACCATTAGTTTCTTCTTGCGGTTTTCACTTGTTCATTGACTTCGTTGTTTCTTTTCGAAGCATCTAATCGCCGACTTTGCCTTGGTATACAGTAACCATTTTGCGCAATGATAGAATGTGAAATGCTATTGAGACCGTCTTGTTCGTCCAACTAGCAGACGTCTCTGCACTGCACTTGTTATGCGTGATTCCAGGGACTCTGCCACCATTGGTCAATGGGCCAGTCAGTTGTCATGTGGCCCCGACTAGTCCTCAGTGCATTATATCGTTTTCCAAAACCCCACAACCCCCATCCTGGTACGCCGCGGATCGGGAGCACAATGCTTTTCCCGCAAAACCATTCCGCGTGAAACAAAACTCTTTACGCTAAAATGTGCTCAGTCCGAAAATCCCCCTAATCTACTATCAGATTTTCGCGATTTGTTCTAATTAATCCCCCGAAATTACTGGCTTGCATTAGACTTCAAACTTGCTGTCCCATGCGGGCCACAGTATTCTCACAATCCAATTGGGTTTTTGAAGCTACGACGTGTCCCCGATGGATTAAACAGATAAAAAATTGAATTCTGAATACTGATCCAAAATTGTGAGCCCCATATAGACATCCTGGACTCCAGTGACGCGATCAATATGTGTAGCGTGGGACGTCAGGAAGTCAGCGGTATTCGACGTTCGAGAGGACGGCACACGTCAGTTCTGAAATGTGCAGATATACGGACTGGTATTAATGAATCCACACAGTATACACAGCACACATGCGCACAGGTCGGGTGGAACAAGGGAGAAGGCCGGAGTGTGGTAACGACACGTGTATTGAGCGAAACCGAAACCGGAAGCGGAGGGTCTGTACAGGGTCGGGTCAAGGTCAGTTAGGGGG